GTCTCATTCGCAGTCTCAGCATGTCCCGGGGCGGGGCCAGCACTGCAGGCCCAGGGACTGAACCTCTGGCCCCTGTGCCCGCTTGCAGGTGCTTTAATCTGCTGAGCTAATTGGCTGGCCCTCTAAATTTTGAATAAAATATTATAATAGATTAACTAGAGCTGGGAGGTGGTTCTGTCCCTGAGAGGTATTGGGGGGCATTAATAATTCTTTCATCACGCTGCATCGGAAGGCACTCGGTGCGTCAGCGCTGCTCTGTGGGTGCTCCTGAGAACTGTGAGTCTGCAGCGGGGTCAGCCCTGGGCGCTGCGCACTTGCCGGATGATAGCAGGAGGGAAGCAGCACACAACTCCTGGACCACGAGCGCTTTGGGCCAAGTATTTGGAATTCAGCTTCATAGTATTGAAACTTTAAGTCAACACTTTCAGCTTGTCAGTGTGAAAAATCAGTGGGACTTACTTTCTTAAAACTGAGGCATTTGGATTTTGTTTCTACACAGTGTGTGTGTGTGTGTGTGTGTGTGTGTGTGTATGGGCACACATGCGAGCTGAAGCTAAAGCAGTAGGTGTTTTGCAGAATTCAAAATGAATCCAGACACTGTGGTGACATCTGCACAGTGTCTCTTTTGAACACTTCTCCAGCAATATACTGTTGCAGAATACTGAGCTCATTGGTTTATCAATTTTCTAGACACCTCTTGAGGTGTTAATTATATCCTACAGAAAGATTAAAATGTGCAGAAATATTCATAAAGTCTAAGATCAGAAATTTGCACTCCAGAAATTGGAAGCAAGTAAACAGTGGAACTGCAGCTCTGTTTTTATCACTCATGTGTGCCAGTCTTTCCTCACTAGGAGACATCTTCTCCAGTGACCGAACATTTACATAGAAAGCACTTTTTTTTTTTTTTTTTTTTTTATAAAAGATGAACTCGTCATGATCCTCCTGTGTTCAGATCGGACTGGTCATGATCCTCCTGTATTCAGCCTCCCAAGTGCTGGGATTACAGGCATGCACCCAGCATGGCAGGTCAGGATCGGACGCCGGCTGCTGCATTCTGCCTAAGCAGGCGATTTCATCTGCTGAGCTATGTGGCCGTCCCTCCGTTTTCCCCTTACTTGTATTAGAAATGCCTAGCAGCTGCCCAGCTTACCCAAAGGTACCGTGGCTGTAGGACCCTCGGTCTGTGGGCGCCTTGGATACCCACGCTTGCAGGGCAAGCCAGAACCCAGAAAAAGAGGGCAGACAAGTGAGAACAAGGGCTATCAGTGGCTTCTCCTGTGTGTGGGTCTTAAACAAGGAGAGGAAGCACTTCTGAGTCCACAGACTGCACACGGCTCTCAGCGGAGGGCCGGGTTCTAGTTAGTGACGTCTGTGGCCCGGCCTCGCGTTGAAGAGACCAGCCCACCGTGATGAAAAGCTGGGCCATCATGCCGGCGTGATTGGGATCTCCAAAGAATTCAGTGCACAGTGGGGCCAAGATCTGGGTTCAGGAGGCTAAAATAGTGGCCTCTGCAAGACGGGGTGCAGGGGGTTGCGTCTCTGTGTCAGAGCAGAACTCAGTTCTGAAGGTGGCAGGTGGAATCGACAAGCAGGTGCTGGAAAACGACGTTTACTCTACAGGAAGTGATCGCCTTTTCCAAGTCCAGTTGCTTAGGACGGTCATCGAATCCATTAGCCACAGCCTCGTATTGTGGCGGAGAGAGGTCCCGCAGCTGGGGGCGGGCATTCTGACCGGCGGTGCTTACCGCATTTCTGAAGCTGCCCAGTACCCAGAGGGGTTCTCTGGGAAACTCGGGGTTTCTTTTTCACGTTACATTGTGTTGAAGAAAACAGAATATTCTGGCTCTTTAAAGCAGACTTGATCCTTGCCTACTGAAGCATATTTGGTAGACTATTAATTTTTGTTAAGACATACCCTATGCCCCTAGTTGCCTCCTGCATAGCTACACGGTTTGGAATAATGGATGTGATTTCCAGAAATTCTTGTTTGAAATCATGTATGTCTTGTACGTTTCAAATAATGCATCCATAAAAACTTTTCATTTCAGTGCTTAAAACTGAAACAAAAAATAGAAGACAGCTAGATTGTGAAATTTTTAAGACTTTTCAAACACTGTGTTAACACAGCACGCACTCAAGCTAGGGAATGGGAGAGTCACAGTGGCCTGTGACTCCACCCATGAGGTTGCACTGCAAAATGCATGTGCTCTTCCCTCGCCGGATTGCACAGAGCAGGTGCTGCAGACGCTGAACGTGTCTAAGTCACAGCAGGAAGTGCAAGCGGGTCCCAAGGCACACAGACGCCCTGCACTTGGGTGTCCTGGGCCCTGGCTACAGTGCATGCCATGTCTGCAGCCCACAAGAGTAAAACACGCACTCCGGAAATCACCTAAGACTTCTGCAAAATGGGGGTGAGCTTGCTCAAGTGTCCACCCAACAAAGGGACGTCTGAGGACCGAACACAGGGGTCTAAGTGGAAAACTTCTAGCACCCAAGGTTAGGCCATTTCCTGAACCATGCATACTGTGGCTTATATCAGTGACTGCATATTTTCAGATGTAAATATTGGCTGGAAGCTTTACATCCTATAATATGCTGAGCAAAATTTCTTTCTTGAAAACACAACTTGATGAAATCACCTTACAGAGGTTGAATAGAGCCTATTCAAAGTTGGAACTTGACTTTCCCAAGACTTCTGAACTAGAATGGGGGGCTTCCTCCACACGATGTCAGTGCCGTGAAATGTTGGAGTCCAGTAACTCAGGCTCACTCAGTTCTCTTTCTAGCAGGCAGGAACCGAAGTTGTCCCACTTGCTGAGCAGGGCACACTCTCAAAGAATTCTGAGATGAGAAGGGAGGAAAACAAGAGATCTCCTTAAGAAAGCTGTGTGGGTGTGGGGGTCGGGAGTGCCTAGAGGAAGCCCAGCCTGGGTCCAGCCGCAGGGCGAATGGTTTCCCGATGAGCAGGCATGTGCGGCTGTCCCTGGCCCACTGTGTTGGGATCCTGCTCTGTGTGTGTGGAGAGAGGACTGGGGTTGGGGTGGGGACAGCAACAAGTGAGGCTTGGGCAGTAGTAGCCACTGTGCTGCAGCTCTTGGGAGTGGGCCAGGGACGAGCGTGGTGCCACCAGCTCAGATGGAGTGGGAGTCAGCCTGTCTCTCCGGATGGTACTGTGCTCATGCTCCGTGTCACAACACGCTAGCCCCAAGTTCCTGCAGCTCCGCAGAGCCTGGCTGCTACAGCGATGTCACAGGTCACTGTCACTTTGGTTGGCATTGTGTCACCAGGGGAAGTGAGAGGATGGGTCACAGAAACTGAGCTCGAATTGCCCAGGGTCTGGGAGAGAGCAGAGGCCACTGGCGTGAGTTTGGGGAGTTCACTGGCACACCTATCCAAGGAGGGGCGTGTGCAGGAAGGTGGGAAGTTTTTCTAGCTTAGTCTCTGGAATATCCGTCCTCTAATAATGGAGGGATCTCTAAATTCTAGTAGTCCTTAATACTAACGTTTAGTTTTGGGAACCTGATCACACCTGAGAAAAATGAGTTGATTCTCTTGAGTACTTTGATGAAAAGCTGCATATACATTGGTCTGCTAGGCTTAAGACACTCTTCCTCACCAAAATAAAACTTAAATGTGTGCTTATGCAAATGTCCTGATGATTCTAAATTCTAAGCACAGTGATTCAACTTCTTAACACTGGCAGATGTATCAATACTTTTTGAATACTGTATTATTCAACATTTAATTATTGAATGCTTTAATATGAAAAATAGTGTGTACTCTTTTTTAGGGAGTCTTGTCATCATTTCACGGCTCAGGGCTTTATCTTGTAATAGAATTTCTGTCATACCAGAAACTAAAGGGGCTTTACAGTACTTTGTCCTTGATATGTGATTAACATAAACTTTGCGTGTAAATTTGAATAAATTATGGAAGGCAAAGAAGACTGCAAAGTTACCATAATTCTGCTTCTTCACCTTCGCCTCGCATTGGTCAATACCCTGACTGCCTCTTCCACTATCTGCTAGTTGATGGGATCCGTGAAAGAGGAGCTGGTCTCCCACAGATGCTTACAGTGGGTGCTTCTGTTCCCTGTTCAAGTGAAAAGAAGCTGGTGGGGGTTGTGTGTGGCTGCGGGACAGCTTGCGACACCTTGGTCTTCAGCTTGGTTGGTTTTGATGCTGCTCGGCTGAGGAACTGCTTTGCCATTCTGCTCTCTGTAGCGGTGGAGATGGGGTCATCAATCACGATGTTCCTGGGCATGGGAGGAGGGACAGACACTTCGCCCCAAGTAGGAATACGACCACACTGCACCAACGGCTGGCATGCTGTCAGCGCAGTTAGACTTCCGGTGTCAGCATGGCGGATTTCAATTTCCCTTCATGCTCCTCTAGTGTCACAAAAGGCTTTCTTCTTTCTTTCTGGTATGCTTTGATCTGATGGACCAATAATGCAAATCTCCCAGCCTGCCTATTTCTCAGTTGAGGGAATGAAAGTCATGCTTAGAAGAGAAGGTGCATAAATGAAAATGAAGTATGTAAGATGTGCCTGCATTCAAGGATACGGGAACTCTGTAAGAACTGGAAAGGTACATGGTAGTGAGAAAGCGTGCCTGCCCCTGTGTTCCCCAGCGCCAGAGCCAGCTGGTGAGAGCTGTGTGTTAGTGTGGGAGGGAAATCAGTGCCACGCACTAGACTGCACCTCCCGAGGACAAATGCCAGGGAGACGTCTATAAGGAAACGAAGCTTGGCGTGGGGCTTGGCAGAGATCAATCCTTCATCTTGCGATCCGGGACCAAGCACAGCGCCCTCCGTGACAGTGTCCCCAGCAGCGGGCCAGAAGTGACAAAGATATGCAGCTACACAGTGAGGTCGGGTGACAACACAGCATTTTTAATCTGTATCTATAGAAAACATTTATATAAGCTCTCTAATAGAGGGATTATAGAAATACATTTATTATATAATAGTGTACTTACTGTGAAAATAGCACATTTATTTAGAGAGGGATTTGCATACCCCAAGTCCTGCTTGACGTGTTCAAACACATCCACCGCCGTCTCTTGTAGCAGTTGCTACAAGAAAAGGAAAAGTGCCACCCACTCTCCACGGTTCCGTATCAAAAGCTTCGCCCTTGGGGTGGTGCTTCTCAGAGTCACCTGGAGCGCCCGATCCGTAATGGGTTTAGAAAAGCGAGAGTCCCGGCCTGGTGGCGCCTACATCTGCCGGCACTCGTGTCGGGTGCACATGGCCTGCCGCTCGATCCGCCACGTGCCCTCCTCGTAGGTGCAGTGGCAGATGGTGCACTCGTCCGTCTTCACCTCCCTGCCGGCCGGGATGACGGCAGTTTCGGCAAAGCAGTTTGGACCTGAGAGGCAGAAGAACACGTTTTACTCTGTGTGTGCACATAAATACGTAATGCACGTAGCAGGGTAATGAGCATGATGCTTCATGTTTTATTCACTCTTCTCAGGACAGCAGGAAGTGTTGGAAGTCCAGCAATACAAAGTACTACCACTTTTTTCTGAAATAAAACTAATGCTATTTAAAATTTTTATGAATGACAGCACTGTGATTTGCATTTTCTAACAGACTCTTCGCTATCAGGACCTTACAAAGAGGCCGTAACTAAGCGGGCCAGGGATATACTTCAGCGGCACAGCACCTGCCTGGCAAGCGAGAGGTCGTGAGTTTGATTCCTTGTACCAAAAATAATAATAATTCATGCTAAGAAACTCTAGAAAAAGTGTGCTAAGGGCCTTCAGAGAAACAGTCTGAGCAGACAGAGCTTAAACTCTGAGGGAGTATAAGCCCAGCATTCCTTTCACCCCCCTTGGAGCAGGTTTCCAGATTTCATTCGGCATCACAACACCTCAGGGATGATGTGGGCCGCTGCAGCTCCCGTTTCCAGAGCGCCGAACGCCTGGGTTTGGCTGGGGCCCAGGAATCAGCATGGCTGCACTTCCAGGGGGCCAGGCTGCTGCTGCTTTGGGCCACACTGGAAGAGGCGCCGTGCTAGCACACAGCGCGGCTCGTCGCCCACAGTGTTTCCTTCGCATTGATGATCTCCGCCATTCCCAGCCCAGCAGCACCAGCCGCGAGCTGCTCAGCTAGCAAGAGCGTGAGGTCAGCGCCTGCTCTGTGCACGGCCGTGGGCAGACAGATGCCAGCCGCATCTCCACCGCGGGGCGGAAGGGTCTTCTCTGCAAGATGACTGGCTTTATGTCACGGCTCATGCAGCAACGACTGCTCTGCCTCCAGAACTCCGTAATCACACAGCACTAAGGACTGCGGCCCGGATGAAGCCCACCCCTGTGAGCTTCTACAGTGCATCACACTGCTTGTTCTCCAGAGCTTTTTCCTTCTGAACATCTTAGAGAATGTGCTCAGGACCAAAATATTTTAATTCTAATGTACAGGGTCATCAAAGAGATGAAAAAAGTTTCACTAGCCAATATTTTAAAAATAAATGAATGATGCTCCTCATTCAAGGCGGCCCACGGCCGCTGGTTAGAGACCCAGTCACACTTCTGGGTGAGGGTTTCTCTCCAGTACCCTCATCGCCTTCACTGCCCTGACAGCTGGGAGGATGGCAGTTTTGGCGAAGTTCCCTCCCCACTGTCATGCTTCCGCACACAGGCGCATCTCTGGCCCCTTCTCTCTCCTTCCACTCCGCTCTGTCTCCTTTTCAAACATGCTCAGAAGTTTTACCTGGACCTCTCCTCTTCTCCCTCAGAGACCCCAGGGCTTTCACCGTAATTCATCTGGGAATGATTCTCCAGTTACATGCCAGTCCTGTCCTCTCTCCTGTGCTCTCATCGTGCACTGCCAGAGGGCAGGTGTCTGCCCTGACTGAGTGATTACGCCCAGATCCACGGTCTCTCCGAGCTTATTTTCTGTCAAGTCACATACCCAGGCTGAGTTCAGGGTGTGCAGCTGTAATGTTAGCACTTGGGAGGCTGAGGCGGGAGGATCCAAATTTCAAGGCCAGCCTTAGCTATGTAGTCAGTTCAAGACCAGCCTGATGTGATCGAAAAACAAGGTGGGTTTAAATAAAAAAAAATACAGTAAGAGACTCATGGCCATCATTCTGTTTCCCACAAAACAGTCGCCTTTGCTCTGAACTGCTCATCCCGTCATTCTTGCCCCTGTCTGCAGCAGCTCTCGAGTCCTCTTTCCTGAGTGCCGTTATGGCTACCTTGACGTCCTGAGTCAATTCAAAACATTTCTGTTTCATGGTCATTTCTGTCTGGGGGAAGAACCAGGAGTCACCCGGTGCCAGAACCGGTGAGTCAGGTGGCTGGGGACGCAGCATCGTGCGTTCATGTGCTGCCTCTCCATGTGGTGGCGCCGGCAGCAGTGCCCACAGTGTTTTGATGACACCTCACAAAGACACTCACGACGCAGCGGCAGAACTGCTTCAGAAAGTGGTGAGAATGACGGGTATGTGTCGGAAGGAAAGGCGAGCCCTGGGATGAGTACTGATGGCCATGTATCCTTGACTGTGGTAAGTGTTTTAAAATTTAAACATTGCTGCTGTTTCGATTATTGCTGGTCCATAGCGAGACCCTTTCCTGTATAACCAAAGAACACCACAAATCAAAAACGCATTCACCCATCAGCTTGGTAACTTGTAGTGCTTTAAATTGAAGACTTCAGCCCACGCATCTTCCTGGACACGTGACACCCTTGCACCCCCTTAGCACAGCTCTTACCTGGCCACCTCCCTACTTTGACCACCGTCTTCCAAACACATCTGGTTGGAACGTCTGGTACTGTCCCTCTGGAGCTACGTCACTTTGGCCTGAATGACTTAATCCTCTGTTTTAATAGCTGCCCTGAAGCATGGCAAGAGTAATACACGAAAGAATCTCATAAGGCGATACGTTTCTGTCCTGATTTTACCTTCTTTTAATGACCATGACATGGAAATGCTAGCAAACAGCCTTGCCCAAATTAGTCTTTCTATGCTGGTTTTAGTAAGTCACTTCTATTGACCAACATGCTTACTGGTTAATATTTTAATAACCCCTCCAGAAGTTTGATATTTATGTTTTTCATTTCTGGCAACCTACTTCAGCCTTTATTCTTTCTGATGTTCAAATTACCTGAAATCTGGCCCATGGGAAGCCTGAACTGCAGCCGCAAGCAGAAGCACCCAAAGGAGACCCTGGATTTGGAGGCAGGTCTGTTTAAGTCAGTAGGCACTGATGGGTTCGTTCCCAGAATATCAGGCCCTGGTCTCTGGTGGCCTAGGGCTTGTGTGGGATGGACCAGCAGAAGTACAGAGGCAGAAGGGCTTGTCAGTAGGGGTGGGGTCACACGATGTGCATCACGGTGCCCAGCTGCGCATCACCACGGTCAGCTGTGCATCACAGTGATTGGCTGTTTCTGGGAGTCAGGAGCAGCCAGAACTGGAACAGGAACCGTTACCTGGGCAACAAGAAACCCAAGTACACGGCTGGGGGAGGGGCGTCAGCGGCTACAGAGCCTCTCGCTGCCACTGAGATGCTTCTTCAGCGCTCATCTTTCTTGCATCTAAAGTCAGCCAGTGCTCCAGCAGCCCTAAGTTCTCTGGGTGGGGAAGAGATTCAGACCTGCGCCGTGGATGCTGGACACGCGCACCATGCTGCCGCCCTCCACCGAGGGCCAGGGGAGTGACACACGCAGACGCTGAATGCTTTCCAAGAGCATATTTCTGCTTAGACTATGACTATGTAGCTTTTCTCTGACAAAGAAACCCTAGGTTTATCACTTGTATTTACTTGATTTACATTCCACTTACATTCTACTTCTTATGTTTTAATTCCCTTTCTGTCCTTTTTGTTTTATTTTGTTTAAGGACTGTGTTGTCCAGGCTGGCCTCAAACTACTGAACTCACATGACCCTTCTGTTCTGCCTCAGCCTCCAGAGTGGCTGGAACCACTGCACTGGGATGATCTCTTCTGTCCTTCTCTCCTTCTGTCTTCTCCTGTCCTCTCCTCTCCTGTCCTCTCCTCTCCTCTCCCCTCTTCCCCTTTTCTCCTCTTCCCTCTCCTCTCCTCTCCTCTCCTCTTCCCTTCCTTCCCTTCCCCTCCCTGCTCCCAACTTGTCTCCCTCCCTCCCTTTCTGATATTGGCAATCAAACCAGGGTCCTCATACTCAGTTACATTCCTTGTCATTTTTTTTTTCTTATTTTAAATTTTAGGACAGGGCCTCACTAAGTGGCTAAGTTGCCCACGCTGGACTTGAACTTTCAGTCAGGCTGCCTCATCGTCCCAAAGTGCTGTGACTACAGGCTAAAATATTGACTCCAGCAGCTGCCTCTGAGGCTTTGTAAGGTACAGAGCAGTCCAAAGTTTTCCCTGGCAGGAGGGCCAGCCAGAGGGAAACAAAGGAGAAACATCATGAAGACAGGCACCTTGTTTTTCCACCCTACAGTTACATTGTACATTCATGTTGGTAGAACAGAACTCGGGTTGTACAGGAAATAGTACTGAGCATCAACAAATAACATGGTATCAAACCAGAAGGCTTCTGCACAGCCAAGGAGCGGCAGCCTACAGAGTGGGGAAAATTTTTGCCAGCTTTCCTCAGACAAAGGACTGGTATCTAGACCACATAAAGAACTCCAGAACATTGGAGCCCTAAAGTAAAAGACTCAGTCAGAAACAGGGCAGGTGGAAGAGCAGACATTTCACGGAAGTAGCACAAACAGCCAAGACGTGAAGAAACATGCTCAACACCACTGGCCGCTAGAGACATGCAAATTAAAACAGCGCTGAGAGTCAGTTTTACCCAGGAAAGAGTAACCACCATAGAGAAATCAAACAGCTGCTAGTAAGGCTATGGGGATAAAGAACTCGTCTACACTGCTGGAAGGGAAGTAATGGAGTACAATGACTTTGGAAATCAGTACAAAGATTCCTCAAACACCGAAGCTAGATATTCTGTCTGATCCAGCTCTTCCCCTTCTAGGTATCCTCTTAAAAGAGTGAAAGATGCCATATTAGAGCGGCCCACGCACACCCATGCGATAGCAGCACCATTCCTAATGGCTACGTCTCGGAAGCGGCCTCTACGTCCGTCGTGTCCAGCGATAGACGAATGGAAGGAGGAGCGCTGTCATTCCCACACAGTGGAGTGCTACTGTGCTTTAAAGAAAGCTCAGATGGAGTGTTGTGCGGGAAAACGGATGCACTTGGAGACCACCATGTTAAATGAAATAAGCGGACCGACAGCTTCGGTGTCCCACGGTTTCTCTTCTACGAGAGACCTGAGGTATCAGCAAGCTGCACTTGACCCGTGACAGCCTGCCCACTCTCCTCGCTGGGACTGCAAGCTTTCCCTCCTTACGTTGCGAAGCTGCCCACCGACGGCCCTCCCGG